GAGATAAACTCCTAAATTTTCGACGGATCATTAAACCCCCTACTCCTTGGCCTTCATTTGTGGTTCACACTTCACTTGGTCCGGCTCAGTCGATGGAGGCCGCCGTGTTTGATGTGCTGACTCACCGCTCGTTGAGCTGATGGAGTCAATAAAACATTAAAGTCAGTTTGCATTAAAAAAAACAACAACAACAAAAACAGGCTATAAAGACAGTGTGTTCCTCTGCGTACGTGTCGGTTGTCCCATGTTCATTCGTGTGGGTGGGGGTCTTCGTTCTCTTCAGGACTCAGTGGAAAATATTTCCTCTGATTATTCATCAGCACTCAGCCTCCGTTTGCACAGAGTCCTGGCTGGACGTTTGGGTTTTATAGAGTTAATGATTTTCAGGAGTAGTAAGAATGTTTTGTGATTTGTGGGCATCCATCTGTACCGCTTCCTCTCTGTTCACATAAATATGAACCAGATCGAGACTTTTAGACAGTGTAAACCCTTTTGGCTTGTTTAGTTGTTTTTATTCTTCTTTTTTTGTATTTTAAGTAAAATACATCCATCCCAATTGATCCCAGATATCAAACAAGTTCAGCCTGTTATTCAAATTGATTAAATTTTTACAACTGAAATGAGCAGGTCTTTAGTTGATTTTATTCGTTTCCTCATTTTGTACCCCAGCACTCTATTTCCTCCCTTTCTACTTTCATTTGTACCTGTAAATAAATAATTTCACACCCATTTACATAACCCATCATCTGATGGTTAATTTTTCTTTGCCCTATTTTTTTGAGTTATGTAGATAAATGGTCATAACAATGTGGAAATCTTCAAATTGGATTTGTATTTTATGTAAGTGTAAACTTCATTTGCACTGATTTTTGGATTTATTTCCTGATTGGGCCAGTTGATTTTTATGAATCATGATGGATTATGACCCCTGACCAAAATCCTAATAACGCCTCCTGCTGGTAGATGGTAGCATGGCAGATATGAAAAATAGTGGCTTCGCTTAGTATAAACTTGAAGTATGAAATGAGGAAAGACGACAAAGGTAAAAAACGGTTTAGAAGTAACAATCTTATGTTCTTATTCTCTGCTTGCTCTGCTCCGTCTCTCTGGTTGTTTGAATTTCTTCCTTCTGGTTTTTAGTCTCTTCAGATTCACTCTGTGGTCACTTTGTTACATTTCTAATTATTGGTTCCTGTTGTCAGTTTGCATATCAGTCTCTGTCTCCTCTGGATTTTATTCTTTTGTAGCTTTTGTCTCTTTGCTCAGTTTTAAGGTGTCTGACGGTGGTTTATGTCACCTTTTGATTTCAAGTTACTTCCTTCCATTTCTGGTCAGGTTTACGTTGTTTCTGATTTTTCTCCACTATCCACCAATAAGCCTTTTTCTGACCAGTTCTGGTTTCTCTTTTTCTTTGAGATTTTACCTATTGATTTTAGTTTTAATCAGAATTAGTAGGTCGTGACTAAAGTAGATGTACACCGATTGCTGTTTTCTGGTAAATTATCTCTCACAGATTTTTCTTTTTTTTGTTTAAGAAAACATCTAAAACTAAAAGCCCACAAATCTGATTCTCAATATGCTACTAATGTAGTGCAATTAATGCCTGTTTGTAGCCACTTAAAGCAATATTTTCATTAAATGACAAGCTGATGAAGCTTAACAAACCCTCCATGGTCTCCCACTCTACCACACAGTCATGCTTAATCATGCACAGATGAAGACACACCTTACACACACTTCCCATTAGACTCTAGTGTCCAACTCCCTCCCCTCTCAGATTTACAGCCTGCTATCATCTGCTGAAGATTAAGTTTGTGCTTCTGCATGACCTCCCTCCTCCTCAGTCTGTGATTGGCTGACCTGGTTCACATGGCAGCAGGTGGATGAACTCGGCTCAGATAGACGGGCGAGGAAGGAAGGCAGAGCTGAGAAGTTAGTGTCTTTAGATTAGCAATGGGAGTCATTAAACCGTCTCCATGGACACAGAAGAAAAACGTCTAACATGCCTGAGTTTCAGGTTAGGCTATTAACAATTATTATCCATTTATTTTTTTAAAGCAAATGTTTTTCCCCAGAACACCATTTTTATAGGCTAAGCCTTACTAAAAACAAAATGATCTTTCTTAGACTCTTAAAGGGGCAGTGTTATGTGTTTTCCAGGCACATAGTATCTATGTTAAGTATCTATGTTACCATCAGTTGTTACAAAAGTGCTCTAAATTTCAAATATGACTTAAAAGAAAGTTTACTTAGCTATTTAATGCCTTGAAATTGGGTCTCTGTCTCTTTAAGAAACTCCTGCTCTTTCTGAAGCTTTGCCTTCAAGAAGTCATCACAACATGGCTCCTGTATTAACACTTTAACAATGTTTTTACCAGCATTTCACTGAGATGTAGCTCCTATAATGAGCTCAGCAGATGCTCAGTTCTACCAGGCATTTGTTAATTGCTCATGGCTAGTCTGAAGGAGCCGAGTGGGGGAGTCATGGGAAGGGCTGCTCTGTGAGGTAGAAACGGGGCAAAGTTCAGCCAGGTGTTTTGCACAGCTGAATGATTGCCATGGAAGATTAAAGGATTTCTCAAACAAGCATGAATGAATAAAGGCAACACTCTATTTATGTTTTTGATGAGGAAATAACATTATAACATGATTTAAACTCAAAAAAGTAAAGTTTTTGCCAGTATTTATTTTGTCAGATTTCAGCTATTTTTGTTCCCCGTCTCCTCCAAAAACACACTTAAATGTTTCAAATCCAACCAGTTTTAATAGTAGATAAACATAATCTGAGTAAATACAAAATTTAAGTGTAGTTAGCAAACATTTTCATTAACTGGGTTTACCTTTCTTTTCTTTATAAATGACATCATAAAAAAATGTATTGGATTTATTCAGGTTATTTTTCTCTGGCTCTACAAAGGGGAAAAAAGAAATTTTGTAAAGAGGGAGAGATCAATTTCACAGTTATGTGTATTCCTCTAAAGTCACCATAAATCTGAGAAAATGCTGTTCGTTGTTAGCCAGTTCCTGGTGAATTTTACACACATCATGAATCCCGACGGTTTGTAAAGGCTCAGACCGTCAGGATTCCAGTATGGCAGGGCAGGGAGTGTCCGCTGTGGTTGTGTAAACAAAACATGTAATTGGATCACTGGAAAGAAAAAAGAAAAGCCGTCCTCTTAAGGATGTGATTAGTTTACACTCACCGACTGCAATAAGAGTCTAACAGCCTCTTTCTTGTCTCAGTGTCCTTTTATGTAGTCATTTACATTCAGAGATCTAAAGCACTATAAGATTGTCTGTCTGGTTTCCACATCGCAGCCACCATATTTCTAAAAATTGGAAATCGGAAAAGAGAAATGTAAACACAGACTGTTTTAGAATGAAAGAAACGACATTTTCTGTATTAGCTTTATGCTCAGTTCGTTTTCTGTTAATTACTTGGAAAATAACATAAAGAAAAGCTTAACATTAAATCAACACAGATAGCACAGGCATGTGGGTACATTTAATAAATCAAATAGCTTTCCACAGCTAATTTATTTCAGTGATTCAGTTCAGCATAGTGAAACTCATATAATGTTTGGATTCATTACACACAGTGTCAAGAGGAAAATGAGCCAACAATGCAGATGAGCTGAAGGGTGTTATTAATTCAGCTTAATTGAGTTCAGTTTATTTATGTTGTGGAAATTCACAGCACACGTTGCCTCCAGGCCATTCATTTGAATCATGGGTCAGCAGAATCTAAGTTTGGAAGCTGTTCTGAAAGAAACTGTCTGTTGTTCTTATCCTCCACCATTAAAGCTAATGTGTGTAACTTTCACAGAAATGTTTTTTTGTTTACAGATTTGTTAAAACTGTCAGCATGTCGTGACAGTATAATATGAGAGATAATCTGTGGAAAGATCGATCCCCTTCACCTCCTTCCTAAGCTATTATTGCCACCTGAAGAAATGCAACCAATCAGAGTCAGGGGGCGGGTCTTAGCGTTGTTAATCATGCTTATGTACTTTTTTATTATTATTATTAAGAGATCCCCATTACTCTAGACCACTGACTATTACCTTCCTGGGGCTCACACCACAAAAGTTACAATAAAGTTATAAAAAAATACTTTAAGGCAAAATCAAAATGGAAACAAATTTCTAATTTACGGCCTCAGCAACTTTAACATTTTACAAACATTACAAAAGGACATCACAAAATAAACAAATAATCAAAATCAAAATACAAAATTTCAACAATAAAATGTTAACGCTGCTAAACGTACTAATGGCAGGGAAATCAGTGGCCATGCTAACGAGCCTCAGGATTCTTGCGGTGAACCTGCTGTAATGTAGCAGAGAGAAAGAGGGATGTTATGAGGAGCACATACATGACTGTGATTGACAGCACTAAGACCCGCCTCCTGGCTCCAATTTGGTTCAAAAGAAACTCTAAACAGGTGGGGGTTTTAGCCTTGATTTACAAGAACTCATTGTTTCGGCTGCTTTATGGTGTTCTGGAAGTTTGTTCCAGATTAGTGGTGCATAGAAGCTGAATGCTGGATCTCTATATTTGGTTCTGGAGAAACTGAGTAGATTATTATTACAGATTTATTGTCCAGCTCTAATCAAAGCTTTAGGCAGTTAAGAAATTGCTAAATAAAAGTCAGATCAGATAGATAAATACATCCACACTGCAGTGGTAGAGAACCTGCAGAGGTCACACCAAAGATTAGTCCTTCAGTGCCATCGCTGCTGCATCTTTGGTGCCACAGAGTTGGGATTTAGGTTGCAGGAGGATTTCAGCGCTGCTGCTGGGTCAGTGGATTACCTTGTAATAGATCTGCTGGAGCACACACACAGGATGTGTTGGCTTGTATATGGAGGGCTTTAATCCCTCAGACAAGCATGCTAACTCCTCCTATGGCTTGTAAGTAAGCCGGAGGCTGAAGGGACGTTATAGAGTTGTCGTTTTTTTCCTCCCCACACTGAATGCCGTTTGTTTTTCTGTCTCAGGCGGGGGGAAATGACAGACGGCTGCCTCCTCGCTGACTAACGATGCTGCTGGGTTAGCAAAGCCTGACCGAGAGGAGCCTCACCTTCAGACCCCGCGAACGCAGGCAGGCAGAGTCGGTTCTGTTCCAGCACAGCCATGCTGATCAAGGAGTACCGGATCCCCATGCCGATGAGTGTGGAGGAGTACCGCATCGCTCAGCTCTACATGATCCAGGTGAGCACTTCCTGCTGATTTTCAGGAGGAATCTTTTAACGGTGTTAACTTTTTCTGATTTTGCTGTGAATGCTCTGTAATCTGTCTGTGTGCTGCCACTGATCTTGGCCAGGATTTCTAATCACAATGGGATTTTCCTGGTAAACTAAAGGTTAAATGAAAATAAATAATTTTTGTCAGGAACCTTTAAACTATGGAGTATTTTTGGTTTAAACCTCTTTGTTTCATTTACGAATGCAATTTGAAGCTAAACAAAGCTTCCTGTTATTAATATACTTGTCAGATACACTTACATGGTGGGATGACCATTTTTGGATTTCCAAAACAGAGACACATGGCCCAGTTATGAAACACTTTAATGACACTCTGTTTACTTAAAGCTATTTGTTAAAATCATCATGATGTTGTGACAGTATAATATATGACAGACAGTCTGGGAAAATAGCTTCTCTCCATTCTTCCTGGTGTGACTCAGTCAGAAACAACCAATTAGAGCCAGGAGGAGGGTCTTAGCGCTGTCAACCACTCTCGTGCTCACCCTTTCTCACTTGCTTGTTGCTAAGCTACAACTACACCACATAGTGGGCCAACACTGCTAAGGCTAGTTAGCATAAGTATTAATGATGGCGGAAAAACGATTTTCCTGTAATGGAAAGATGCTCTTCCACCATTAACACATTGAACTGTGTACACGAGTTTGATTGACAACGTCAAGTCCCTCCTCTTGAATCTGATTGGTTGGCTTTGATTGGGAGCGGTGCATTTCTGCAGACCGTTTTAATAAATATGGGGGAATAAAACAACATATTTTTGTAAAGATACAAACTGCAGCTTTAGAGACTTATTTTTTTTAACATATCATTTTTCTAAAATAAAGACCTTACTCATCTTTTGCCAAAAAGGATTTTTTTGTTTTTGTTTGCCTAAATCATCTTTTGTCAATTTTTTTTGTTTGTTTTTGGTTAAAATCAGTTTTGGCAAAAAATAAAAATTATTTTAGAAAACCGATGAGATGTAAAGAATGCCTTCATTGTGGGGTTAGAAAGAAAAGTTAAATAGCAAACTTCAGGATTTACAATGAAAACAGAACAAAATTTACAAAATTTTTATCAAAGCAGTTTTTGTTTGCTCAACAAACAAACATACAGGTTTTTGAAAGAAGTGTGTGTAGCTCAACAGAGAGCTGCTTCCTCTCATTGCTCTAGTGAGAAACCCTCTCAACGTTTGAATTGTGGTTCAGTAAGTCGGAGTTACATGTCATACTTTTGGCCTTCTTCTAATCTTTGGTCCTCTTCTGGTGCAACTGAACTCTTTTCCCAGTGTAACAGCAGCACACAGCTGACATGTGATTGGTTGTTTCTGGTCAAACAGTGTATTTCTGTAGTCAGCACTGGAAGCACTGGGAGAAGGCAGAGCAGTTTGATTTCTTTCAAAGTTATCTGTATTACATTCTTCTGTCACAACAAAGAGAAAGTTTTGTAAAGTAAGGTAATTTTATTTATATAGCACATTTTCAGCATCAAAGCAATTCAAAGTGGTTTAAATAGTTTTTCTCTCTTTTTTTCCCCCGATTCTCACTCAGTAAGCTTATTACGGAAGCTGAGTCTTCCGCTGGATGAGTTGTCTGCTGATACCAGATCAGTCTCTCATAAACAGACTTTGGTGTAACTACAACAACTAGCTGACAGGAGGAAACATTATATTACTGATTGCTTCTTTTGTACAGTTCCAGTCGACCTGCTGAAGTGGTCAAGAGAGTCTTTGTAAGTGAAAATAAAAATTACAGACTCTACAGGTGTTTTTTCATATATATATTCTTTATAAATCTTAGGAATGGAAATGACTAAAACAAACTTGGTGATGTAGGATTTGTACGCTGACAGCTTATTGGTTGGTGTGTTTAATCTAAACTGGAGTTATGGCGACTATCAAGTGGGAAAACACAAGTTGTGTATAATAGACTCATATAAATTGTTTCTATCATGAAACCCAAACTACAGATATGTTTCAATCCAATTATCATGCTAATTTTGAGCAAACTTTTAAAGGGGCAGGGTCATGTAAAACTGACTTTTTTGAGCTTTACATCATGTTATAATGTTATTCCCTTATCAAAAAGTGTTGCCATGATTCTTTCATGCACGTTTGAAAAATATTTTCATCTCCATGGCAACCTGTTTAAAATGCCTTGGTGGACCTAGCCTCACCTTCGAAGACGCAGCTCCTCCTCAGAGCTGCAGCTTCCGAGGTTCTTGTCTCCCCCACTCAGCTCCTTCAGACTAGCCAGCAGCAATTAGCAAACACCTAGTGGAACTGAGTATAAGCTGAACTCATTGTAAGAGCTACTTCTCAGTGCAATGCTGGTAAAAACGTTGCTAAAGGGTTAATCAGGTGGTGGAGTTTCAGAAAGAGCAGGATATTTTTTAGACTAAACTAACTTGAAATTAGTTTAGTGCTAATTTCAAGGCACTAAACGCCTTTTAAGACATATTTGATAACAACTGAAGCTAACATAGTTACTTGTTTCTGCTAAGAAATGGCACTATGTGCCTGGAAAATACATAATACTGTCCTTTTAAAAGGTCTCAAATAGAAAAAAAGAAAATGTACATTAGGCCTGTTTATATCTTGTGATTTGGAGCAAACCAGCAGGACTCCATAAACCGTAACTTCATCAGATATCGACACTACGCATGACTGTAATAGACAGGAGGTTGAGGCCTCCCCTCTCAGCTGGAGGTTTGAACTTATTCAGTAAATGAGTTTCCTTCTACTTTTTAGCGAGTTATCGGAAAAGCCAAAAACCACCTCAAAAGCAAATATAAAGTGTAAGGAAGTTATTTTGAATTTTGTTGGTTATTTCTAAAGGAATACTTCAAACTTAGCGTAACCCCCCCCCAACCCCCCCATGGTTTGCGTCGTATTATCCGAGTTTAAAAGGCTGGATCAGGGGCAGCTATGATGATTTTAGTGGGGGTTACGAAGCATTACCTTGTTTCAGGTAATATCTGATACGTGTAATGGAGGGCGGGGGTTGAAGGTGTCCTTGTGTCTTCCTGTAGAACAGGATCTGAGAGAAAATGTTGCTGAGAGGTCACGGTGTCACTCTGCAGACCAGATGGTGCTCCATATGTCTGGGCTTTATGCTTCCTTTCATAACTTTGTGAAAACAATTAAAATGTCATTAAAAAAGCAACATCTCAGTATGAATGCATCCTGTATTTACTTAGGAGCCGTAAATCAGGGCAGATTAAACAAAGGATCTCATTTTAGAGCGACATGTTCCAGCTTGTGATCATGAAGCTCATTACTGACAAATAGCAATGAAGCGACAGCCGCGTCCATTCCTCCTTTTTACGCCGTTTATTCTAAACTGCAACGGAAGATATGCAACCTAACATTCAGACTCATTTAAATTTGATCAGATGAAGTTATTAAGGAGCTAGATCTGTGCAGACACAAAACAGAAACGGCGTTTGCTTCTTTTTATCATAACTTTGCTTATGTGGACAAACATACAAATACATGACTGTACAGAGTTAAACACACACATGCACACCCGCACGCACACACACACACAGTTCCTGCTCCTCGGCGTCACAGTTGGAGCGCCTGTCGCCGGGGTAACTGGTGACATCACCTGCAGCGGGGCAGCTGCTGCCATCATTTGGTTTTGTGGCGTGAACGAGACAGAGAGGGAGACGTGGTGGTACAGTCGCCATGACGACTCTTGGTGTCTGAAGCTCATTGCTGGATAAAGTAACATGAGATTCAAACATCACTCAAATAAAATATGTAATATTATCATAACATAAAAAACAGCACAGCTTTTCTCACCAGTGTGTTGAGGAAGATTTGTATTTTTTAAATGTTTTGTCAGCAAAAGAAAAGGTGTCCCCATGTACTTTCTGATATTTATTGCATTTTTGTAATTCAGAACACCTATTAATAATAAGTTAATTGCTATTAACTTATTGCCATATGTACTTGGATGCCACCACTCTTGAGAAAACAATGCTTGAAGCTACTTTGGTTTTTAGCCACATATAAACATCCCACTGCTTTGCATCAACACAAATGGTTTTTATTAATGCTTAAAGGGACAGTATCACGTGTTTTCCAGGTACATAGTGCCATTTCATAGCATAATCAAGAAACTATGTTAACTTCAGTTGCCAGCATAACAAATGCTGTATATATTTAGTATAACTTAAAAGAGATTTTACCTTGAAATTGGGCCTCTGTCTCTTTAAGAAACTCCTGCCCTTCCTGAAACTCTGACTTCAGGAAGTCATCACAACATGGCTCCTTTATTAACTCTTTAACAACGTTTTTACTAGATTCGCACTGAGAAGTAGTTCCTATAATGAGCTCAGCAGATGTGCAGTCCCACCAGGTGTTTGCTAATTGCTGTTGGCTAGTCTGAAGGAGCTGAGTGGGAAAGGCGAGGGGAAGGGCTGCTCTGTGAGGCGGAAGCTTGGAGGCTGCGTAAAGCAGTTTCCAAGAAAAAGGAAAAAGGTAACCCACAGAGGCATGGTGATCCACCGAAATCTGACTGGACGGGTAGAAATGATATTGGTGGTGCTAGCATCACACTGTGGAGATGCTATTTATCAGCAGTGAAGCTAGTCAAGGAAAATGGAAAGAAAACAATTTCTGAACTTTTTACCATACACATCAGCTCTCAGTTTAATCACCTTGTAAGAATAGGTTGCAAATATGCTTCATAAAGTTATGCCCTCTGTTTCTTTTCCAACATAAAGTTTAAAAAAACCTGCTGAACATAAATAAAATTGGGGGGGGGGGGATCACAGACATGGTGGTAAACTGTCTAGCTCTGTTTTCTCCTTCCTACTCTTGCTTCACTGAAGCACCAAGTTCAAAGTCTTGTGTTGTAAACTGATTAGAGATGCACCGCTCCACTTTTTTCACTTCCAATACTGATATCTGAGGTTTACCATCAGCCAAATTGATAAATAAAAACAACACTGAATTGACTT